AAGGGTACTTGCTTGTTTGGTAGGCCCGTAGGGCCGGTACTTACCTGTGGCCGTGGCATTGAGGGTTGTAGCAGGGAAAAACACTCAAGTGGCGATGCTAGCGGCCCTGAGGCCCTTGGGGTAGCGGAAAAACACTCAAGTAGGCCGGTAGGCCGATACTGCACCCCACTGCAGTTGGCGTGAGGGGTACTGGAGGCCGAGCAGAAAAAGACAAAGTTGGCATTTTTAGAGTCCAGTAGCAGTAGGGTAGGTCTAGGCCGGTACCAGTCTAACCAGTCTGAGTCTAGAGCCTGTACGGGTAATATCAGAGTCTGCAATGATGTTTCCCTCCGAAACGGAGGAAGTACCGGTTGCTTGGAGAGGCCGAGCGGCCTGGAAGTCACCGCCCAGGAGGCAAGTAGGCCGCTATATCAAGAGGCAGGGCGGAGAGCCCAGTCTCATTCTTCAGTGTGCGAGTTGGGCGGCACGCTGCTGGAGCGCTGGCTGGAGTAGCACTGGGCACTACAGCGCTGCTGGGAGGAAGAAGCCGGGAGCTTCCACCTTGGCTATGGTGGAGCTCTACCGGTAGGAGGAGGAGGGAGAAGGGGACCAAGGAGGAGAGTGGCGAGGTACTTACTGGCTATGGTAGACACCATCTTCATCTCCTTGCTAGGCGCTGCATCAGGAAGGCCCCAGTGGGGGTAGTGCCGCATCAAGGAAGCTCGGGACAGAGTCAGGCATGGTGGTTGAGAGTGGGCAGCGGTATAGCTGCTTGGTGATGACCTTGAAGTGGGGCAGCGACATAGCTGCTTTGGGTTGTCCGCTGCACAGGAGACTGAAGCCTCAGTAGTCCACCATAGCCTCGGTCTGTATGTGGAGGAAGAAGAAGGACTACCATGGCTATGGTGGAACTCATCTTATGCCTGCAGTAGAAGTGGGATTCGGACATTGATTCTGGCTCAGCTTTTTAACATTATTATTGTTTATTTATTGTTTGAATAAGAGAGGAGGAGATAAAGAGGAGGAGGTTGTTGAGCGAAGAAGAAGAGCTTTGTCTTTGGTCTATGCTGGAGTACATCATCTCTTTCTTCTTTCTTAATTCTTCTTCTTCTTCTTTCCCTCTCTCTCCTCTCAAGTTCTTTCATTTCTTTTGCTATTGGACGGCATTGGGCTCAAGTTCATTCATTTCTTTTTGCAATTGGACAACATTGTGCTTTCTGATGATTGTGGACTTCGAAATTGGCCAGGATCGTAACAATAATAAGATAAAAATGTACAGTGTCCTCATACATGTGTAATATTGTGTATACTAATCTCGGGTGTTCAAATTCTTATCTGAGTCTCACAGAGCAGCTTTATATTATAAAAATTGGAAACTGTGACGGACAGGGCTCAAACTTTCATTGGAGGACAGAGGCATGAACACCTGGATGGACAAACTCGCAATTTTTCAACAACACAGAAGGGGTAAGTCCTTCAGAGGCTGGTCGGGATGTTTCAGCAAGTTAGCGGTGGCAGTGACTGTAGCCCGATCGTCAGTTGAGTTAAAGGTCTGCTATTAGATGTGTGTGGGCCATAGTGGGCGACTTAGAGATGGGGGTTTTATGGCACAGGAGGTAGAAAGGCGAGTGTCACTGAGATGAAGAGTCGTCGCTTCCCTCCCCCCCCCCCACCCACCAAAATGAACCGGTAGACGGCTTGTGAAGGATTCCGTTTGGTGGGTACTAAGTAGTACTGAATGTCAAGTACCTACCAAGCGTACGAGGTCCACAAAAGCAGAGATTGCCGCTTGGAGCAAGGTTGGTCGTTGGTGTTATTCTGTCGGCGTCCGATCAGAGCAGCTGGCAGGGCTGAGTGAAGTATGGCGGAGGAGGAGCAAGGTGATTAATTGCTGTGGCTCATGCTTGCTAGCCATGGCGAGTGACTATAGTGTTGGCATCAATCTTCTTCCTGCTCAGACTATAGTGATGGCATCGATCTTCTTCATGTCGGGACATGGAGATCTGCCAGTGTGAGTGCAACCAGCAAGAGACACGCATGGAGATACCGTTGAGATCGTAGTCAGCGGTCATCACAAGTGCACCGTATGGAAAACAATACGCAGTATTACGCACCTATGTGGGCATTGGTGTGAGCTCTCGCAGCCACTTCAGGTGAGCTTCAGGGTTCACCTTGGCAGCTAGTTATGCCTCTGCAGTGCGCGGATAACCTTCTAACGTTAGACACTTGGTTTCCAAGAGAGGTGGGGGGGAAGATTGATGTTGGGTCAGTGGAGAAGGAGAAACTAGGGTGTTGTGGCCTGGACTGACCAGAGATTCAACTCGTCATGATATTGTGCTCTCGATTGGGTTGAGAGTCCGTCATTCTGTGATATTTGCTGTTGATTCTCTGAGAGGTAAGAACATTCAATTTGTTGTTCGGTTTTCGAATAAGGCTATTATAGTAGGAGAGTGGAAAGGAGGACAGCTGGTATGTGGAAAAGTTTCCTTGAAGTTCACTAACCGTGTAAGCACGTGTGTGTGTGTGTGTGTGTGTGTGTGTGTGTGTGTGTGTGTGTGTGTGTGTGTGTGTGTGTGTGTGTGTG